TCCATTACCTCATTTTAACCAAAGTTTTCAGTAACAAATTCTCCTGGAAAGACTGGCAACAGTTCAAAGGTCTACTTCTGGTAGGGCTGAAGAGAAAATGTAAAGATTATTTGGAGATGGCCACCCCAATATATTGATTTAAACTCAAGTGTCACTTCCATATAAATGATTTACCTTTTCTACCTCCTTTTGTATTTAATGCCTTCTTTCAGTTTTCTACAGAGACTACAGGTCATGTAGGGCTAAAATTAAATGAAAAACAACTTCCAAAGTGTATGCAATCTCTCTGGATCTTGTCTAGAATACTGAGTTAGGATTTGATTTGAGGCACTGGTTTCTCACAACCTAAAGAACCAGAAAGCTTATGCGAAATTAAATGAAAAACAACTTCCAAAGTGTATGCATTCTCTCTGGATCTCGTCTAGAATACTGAGTTAGGATTTGATTTATCGAGGCACTGGTTTCTCACAATCTAAAGAACCAGAAAGCTTATGTGAAAAGAAAAACACTCATTTGTGCAGAGAGAATCCTCCACGATCCCTCAAGCTGGAAGAACAGAGAAAGTATATATACAGCACCAATTTTCCAAATATAATCCCTCTCAACGTGTTTTATACTATTCAAAAAATAGTAATGTCATCAAGGTTCTCAAACATTTTGCCTTAACAAGTTCACAAAGCTCTCACAACAGGACACAAAAAGCAGACAGAAGCAGCAGGTTCACAAAGCTCTCACAACAGGACACAAAAGCAAACACATGTACAGTGAGTTTAGGTTACAGGTTAGAAGCAGACACAGTTTAACCTATGTAAAGTGAACTGCAAGGCTGACCTTTACAGCTAAACAGTGGAAAGACAAAAAGGAATTAGTGGGTGGGTGGAACCACATAGTAAGTATCTACTCACTCCTACAAAGCCTGAAACTTCTCAAAGTGTGTACTTAAAGCAAGAAAGACAATAAAATATAACCTCTTATGCTCCTTTTGAAGGAAAGGCTGAGATCAAAACACACAACATAGATGGTAGTCATGTCACAACATGTTTAAAATATTGTAGCATTGGCAAGGTAATTTTAAAAATGCCTGTGGACTAGATTAAACTGTACATGAAGCTAGAGCAAGAAAATTCATCACCCAAAAGAATATTTGTGGGAAATCTCAGCAAGAACAAGGTAACTTTTTAAAAATTGGCAATCAAGAAAGATTAACTCCATAAAGTTACTCATAAAAATATGAAAGGAAAAGTCTCTGCTGAGTGACCAAAGGAAATAATGCTGATTTGTTCAGTAGAGTTCAAAGATAAGAAAGAATTCACCAAAAAAACGCACACACTGCACAAAAGAAAAAAAAAAAAGGTGTTAGGGTATGGCTTACTATGCACATGCTGCACTGGAGGTTTTTGTTGCTATTGTTTCTTCCCGCCGAAGACAGTACCCTATCAGGTACTGGGTTCTTGGTGGGTTTTGAATCCATTTTTAGTGAACTGGAACAAGTTAGATAAAGTTGTTTATATGCTGTAAATCTACTTTCCCTGAGCTGAAAATGTGTTAGCTAATGGGTTGTTTATGAGTTGCAAATCTGTTCAGTGAGGTGAAAATTTGTCAGATAATGGGTTGTTTATGAATTCTAAATCAATATTCAGTGAATTGGAACTATGTTAGATAATAGCTTGCGTATGGGTTGTAAATCTGTTTTCAGTGAACTGGAAACATGTTAGATAATGGGTTGTTTCTGGGTAGTAAATCTGTTCTCAGTGAGCTAAAAACATATTAGATAATGGGTTGCTCGTGAGTTGTAAATCTGTTTTTAGTGAACTGGAAACCTGTTTAATAAAGGGCTCTTTATATATCTTAACTCTGTTTTTAGTGCGCAGAAAAGTTCAATAACGTGTTAGATTTGAGTGGCATATCTGATTTCAGTGAAGTAGGAAACCATCAGCTAGTGGATTCTTTATGAGCAGATCTACACTCAGTGAACTAAAAATCTGGGACAACAGTATCTTGTCTATAAAGTATTCTATTTCCACTATTTGAATCAAATACTGACTAAAGGTTTCAATAATTTATAGACTTCAACTACTTCTAATGAGGTACAAAAGGGCTGTAGAATTGTTAGAACCACATTAGATATTTCCGACGTGGTTTTGAATCTCTTCCTAATAAAGCTAAACTTGCTACAGATGCATACTAATAATTTTGGAGTGAGCAAAATGAATGTCAAAGATGTTGTTTTTTTAATCCTGCAATGAAACACTATTACTAAAATCTCTCAGGTGGATTCCATTTAATAATTTCTGCGTAATCACATATAGTTAACACAGAAATCAGAAAAGTTTAGAATTTTACATCTTCCAGTGAATGGAATCCCTGGTTCAACCAGGCTTAACACTGATTTTCCCTTTATAGGTATCACTGGTCAAATACTTCCACTATATCAAGCAGCCTCATGAACTGTTCCCTGTGTACAGTGAAAGAAAATCATGTGCACACTCTGGAAAGGAAGGATATGTAGTACAAAAGTACCAGTTTAAAGGGAATGACTCAACATAAAGAAAAGGAGTTTAAAACATGAAGGAGAACAATAAACTAACATATACTGGGATGCGATATCCCTTCTCATTTACAATGAAAAAACAACTGAAGCATTTCTAGAAAACAAATATCACTGTTCACAAATACATCCCAAGCATACACAGTAAATTTTTTGCAGGGATAGAAAATTTCATCTGACATTCAATTATTCAGAGCGCTGACTCTGCTAATGAAAAATGAAATCGGGCATATTAAGATTACAAGTAGAAACACTTCCTAACAATTTCTTAAAATTATAATTCTCTACTATGCTTTATGGAATGTCTTTAGCTCTTGTAGAACAACCCATTATAAAGTAATGAGGAATACTTTATTGTTCTTTTAAAAAAAACCAAGTTGTATCTGCATATGCACTTTATCAGTATTTCTTTCTTCTCTTTGTCTGTTTTAAATGTAAAAATTTCCAGTGGCTTTTCATATAATACTTTTAATCTCTTCCTATAACACCAGAGTTAAAACAGTGCTGTACGTCACCACTGCATATTTCTGTGAGCTGTTTGTGTCTCTTGTAACATCAACTCTGAATCCCTAGGTTTTAATGCTCTCCTGGCAGTACTAAGAATAATCTGACAACATTGCTTTGTTTCTTTTTACCATATCTTAACACTTATCATTAATTCCATTAAAGTATGCACACATAAAAACTCAACGTAAAAAAAAAAAAAGAAAAAAAAGGCTTGTATCATATTTGTAAAATGCTTTTCCATTCATTAGTGCCAACAGTTTCATGACCACAAATACCTTCCCCGAAGCACAGTGCAGAGGTACATAATAACTCAATTACGCAATGTCAGTTGTAGAATAATATTTTGTCATTTTGCAGCTGTTTAACTTCTTTCTTTTCTACAAATATTTCCATTATCATGCAAAAGCAAAGGGCGATATGTTCCACATCAAAGGTACTGCCATTTTTCCTAATCACTTTCATTGGTCTTGTTATTAAACTGTTTGACCCAAACTAATAGCTAAATGTGGCAATGCCATAAGCAGCGTAACATACGACATCAGAAATTTAGACGGGAATTACCCACAACATCAGGAGCAAAAACTATACAGCACTTCAGGCATTTTGGGAAATGGTTACCAAAACAAAGTGTAGCCTCCAAAAAAACCCAGACAGTACTCAAAAATTACAAAGAAGAGAAGAAACACAGTAAATATGTGCATGTGATATCTGACTACAGGTGAATAAGGTTTATTGCATATTTGAGAACAAATAACTTGGAAGAGAAATGCAAGATATAGAAGTTTTTAGAATATGAATTTTTGTAGCATGGATATTTTAATGGTGAGCATTAAGGATACATTTCTTAAAAATGCAAGATATAGAAGTTTTTAGAATATCAATTTTTGTAGCATGGATTTTTTTAATGGTGAGCATTAAGGATAGATTTCTTGCATATCTGCATTCAGATTTCCCATGAATTCTAATTTTACCATGACAAACCATGATAACTTCATGTACATCTTGTATTAAAGTTAAGTTATGCTTTGTTGATAAAGATTGCAGTGCAAGATCCTCAGAAGATTTTACTGAGCTGAAAAATGTTTTGTGTCTTCTCCTAAAGACTTTGGTGATGACATTGGCGTCAATTCCTCAATAGCAGTGTCAGGCTTCAAGCTTTCAGAGGCTAAGAAAATGTCAAGTTTCATACAACTCCTAGTACTAGCGTGGTGAATAAAGGCATAGTAAACATGGGAAGCTGCCAAGTAAGTCTCTATTAAAACAGACAATTTTGTAGGTTGGAATTTGCCAACAATTATTACAGAATCACAGAATCTCAGTGGTTGGAAGGGACCTCTGAGATCATCGAGTCCAACCACAAAAAAAAAACAACAAACAAACAAACAAAAAAACCAAACCACCAAACAAATACAAAACACACCACACCAAACGCCCAACAAAAAGCAAAATTATTGCTAGCACAAGTCACCTTTATTGTGCTTCCAACAAGAAAGCTGAGCCAACTGGACACACTAATATTATATACTGAGGAATGGTTATGTCAGCCGAGGAATCTCACAGTACTTTACTCCCACTAACTGGAAAAATATACAACCAAAAGATTTTGTGGGGAAAAGAGACTTCTGTAATTTCTAGGCAAATAAGGTTCTGTTTCAACAGTAAGGCGCCTTAAAACCACAGTAATAAAAACTAAGCACTGTCATTATCACTTCTGTTTTCTAATAATGTGCTTCACACATTGTAAGATTGTTATAAAATGCATTATTTTGAAGTTGTAATTCTAAAGATAATTTTAATTTAAATGCGTCTTATAGAAATAAATGACAATAATTGTAATATATCCTTAAGCATGGCAAAACCCTATTGACATTTTTTGCTCTATAAAGCCAAACAATTATCAACTTTTCACTTAATACAGTCTATTGAAATAAATTTTTTTACTTACTTTCAATTAGAACTTTTCTGCCAGCCCAGTTGTCTTTAATTACTTGTATGTTTCCAAAGTGCGCATCACTGAAGAATATGCGATTGGTACCTCTTCCTTTCAGACTGTAGTCAAAAGCAAGAGCTATCACATTTTTGAAGTACTCTGGATTCTCGTATGGCCTGACTGGGGAATTTAAGTTGGTTTCATCTGAAAGATGTATACTCTTGAGTATTGTCCTTCCTGAGTATAACAGGTAACCTTCATGTCTCAGGCAAGTAATTCCATCTTCTGCAAGATAGCCATGTGCGCAGGCACATGTTCTCCGTGCATTTCCCCGATAAAGGCAAAGCTGATGACATCCACCATTATTCTTGGCACAAACATTAGTACCTGTACAAAAAGATACATATATAAAAAAATTCTATCTTTTATAATATTACACTTAACTAATTTAAATCGAGCTGTAATTTTATGTATTCTAAGAACTCTTCTCTTAAAACTGTTTCTGCAATATTCACAAGTAAAACAAAGGCCAAAACAGTAAAGAATGTGACTTATACCACAACCCAAAGACAATTTTAATGAATAAAGTTAGTGAGAAAAATATAATTTATGTCCTTCCCAATCCACAGGAGTACATATTTTATTAATAGAAAATGATAACATGGGTTATTCCTCCATAATCAACTGAAGACTTAGAGAGTGTTTCAAGTGCTTTGAAAGTTTTCATTTTTTTTAAAACACCTGTTACTGTCAAAAAGTCAAATTTAGATACCATCAGAATACGGTACTGTTTTTAGACAATTTCTATCAAAATGAAATCATATATCTTGACAGGTACAAAACTGTGTTAATCCAGTTCCCTGTTTTTAATAAAAGACATTTCCTAACATTTTGTTCTAATTTCCTTTAAAACCTGACTTTAAAAACTTACTCCCTGAAAAATGCATACCATTAAGAAATCATTGTCAAATTAGTAACTTCAATGACTTCAACTACACTTGTTGCAAGCAATATTTAAAATTACAGTAATTGTCAATAATTAGGAGCTATTTTCCTTTGTCTTTTTTTTTTGGACTATGCATGAATTACTATTATAGTTAGTTTAGATAATTTAGTTTCTGTTTCTGACAGCACTTTCCATATAACAACTCGGCTCTTTCAATATAGCCATTTTTCCCATTTCTGAAAGATTTCCACATAGTGAAGGAGAAGAAAACATTTTAAATAGACTGTTTTCAGGTAGTAAACCATAATGCTTGTCAGGGAAGATGTAGTGTCTGAAAGCACTGTTGTTTTTATTTTTTAACTGCTGCATTTCGAACTGAAGATACTTTTCAGAAAAAAAATAATGGTGGATGAGAGTTAACTTGCTCTTAAAATTAGAAACGTTGAATTTTGTGTTCCTAGGCAAAATTACAGGAGACATATTCCTCTATAGTTATGTAAAAACATTTGGAGATTTAGCCGTATACATTTTTTGCATTTGGTTTGTTTTAAAGATTCTTGTAAAGTTTTATTAGGCTAGAAAAGTTAATATCTGTTTGGAAGGATGAGAGGTTGAGAAGTGAAAGGAAAATATATGAAAGAGAACCTCAAGCTTCTAAAATCTCTCTTTGAAAACTGCAATGCTTCCACAGGTCACCAGCTGTAAATATCTTTAAACCTAGCCAATTCTAAACTCATTGTAGTTAGGGAATATCACATATATGTGAAATAGCACTGAAAGATAGGAATCTGCTTGCGAATAGCACTGTGGGACTGGCTCTTCAGAAAGGGTAAAACAGGTGTTTAAAAAAAAAAGCATTGATCACAATCAGCACAGGTTCTTGGGGCTTTGCTTGCTTTTTTTGTTTGGGGTTTTGATTGTTGCTTTAATAATAGAAGGTCAGGAAGCTAGCTAATTACAACTTTTAAAAACAGTATTATTATCTACTTCTAGTTCAATGACCTTAAAAAAATATATGTAAGAGAGTGATATAGAAAAACATTCCAAAAACATTTTTCACCTGTTTTTTCCCTTTTGTCCTCCTGGCTCACTGACAGCCCCTCCCAAAGACATTAACCATTTGTACCCTAGTAAAATTTGAAAAACGTATTAAAAAATCATTCAGTTATGTTTTTCAAATTAACATCAAAAGATTTTTAGGCTCAATAACCATTTCTCCTCTTGGCTAATGTGTTCAAATCTTTAAAGCTATAAACAAAATCATTACATATAAAGAAGCATTTTTTTTATCCAGTTGTTCTATTTTCCTAATTCTGTAATAAAGCCCTTCCAAGCAAGCAGACATTAACTATTTGTAGCCTAATTAAAAGAAACGATAAGTTTTTGTGTGGATTTTATTTTTATCCACAAAATATGATGCCCCGGCTACTCTGAAATTACATGCAGAAATTGTTAGTAAAATTAATATATATGTTTGCAAAGTGATTTTTTTTCAAAACTATTTAAAATTTCCTTTAGAAAAAAAATAGTTTTTCTTATTGATTGTTAAAGATGTTCTCTTTCAAAATGAAAATTCCTTTTACAAGTCACATTTAATGTGGTTATTTAGGAAAGATGTATATAAAAGAAACAGGATCTTTGGGAATGTAATGCTGTGATTAAAGCAACTTTTGAGTTGCTACCAACACCAGACGTATATTTGTGTTAAAAAAATTATCTTGTGTTATAGTAGTATTTTCTTTCTCCTTCTTTTTGATTATATTTATAGAAAATTTTGTCTGGAGTGACTGGTAGCTGTTGGTCCTGAGGAAATCAGCATTATTTTTGGTAGACTTAGGAGGAAAAAAATAGCTACAAGCAAGATTATTCGTAGTCAGATAGCAGAGAATTAAATTTAACCATCAATAATATAAATCACTGAGAGTAAATAAGTTTTGTCTCTTGAATTGGATTATTCACAAGGTCTCTTCCCACACAAAAGAAACTAGAACTCAAACTCAAGTAATTTTCAGGAAATAAATATTTGAGACACAGAGACTGGAAATGTTTAGCTGTGAAAAAAAAAATAATTCTGGTTTGCTTTCCAATAGAAATCGAAGACTACCTGAGATTACTGCTTTTTAAAGCACAGTTCAAGGTCCTTCTCATTCCTACTACTGTTTTTTCTTTTTTTTTTTTTTTTTAAATAAAAACCAAACAAAATAAAACCACCAAACCTGGAATGACAGGAAGTGTTGAAGTGTTTTGGTTTTAGAATTTCTCCTTAAAACACTCAGAAGAATTTTAGTGGGACTTGTACTATGTTTTCTTTAGTACATTAATTTTAGCTTAAAAAAAATACTTCAAAAATAGAGAGTGGAGATAAAATCAGTGATTACTTAACTTTTGGTATGCTTTAATATACATTAAAAGTACGTGATATTAAAATAATTAATAGCATCCTTAAGAACAGCCAACCTTTCTCTCGTGCTCTATTAAAGATTTTCTTTTTTTTTTTTTTTTTTTTTTTTTTAAATAAAAACCAAACAAAATAAAACCACCAAACCTGGAATGACAGGAAGTGTTGAAGTGTTTTGGTTTTAGAATTTCTCCTTAAAACACTCAGAAGAATTTTAGTGGGACTTGTACTATGTTTTCTTTAGTACATTAATTTTAGCTTAAAAAAAATACTTCAAAAATAGAGAGTGGAGATAAAATCAGTGATTACTTAACTTTTGGTATGCTTTAATATACATTAAAAGTACGTGATATTAAAATAATTAATAGCATCCTTAAGAACAGCCAACCTTTCTCTCGTGCTCTATTAAAGATTTTCACTTCCTTCAGGTTTATTCCAAGGCCAGTCCTCATGGTCACAGCATCCGTGGCCTCATTCTTGTGGCCTCTTCTAATAGAGCCATTTGCATGTGCTCTGCCAAAAAAGTTGAAGATGTCTCATCAACAATCCTCAACTAATTCACACCAAACAAATGACTGAAGGGCAGTGGAGAATTGCCTAACAGAAGGTGGAGAAACCACTTCTCATTTATGACACTGATACGCTTTAGCTTTCAGTATCTGAAACGCCCTTTCTTTGGAAATCGCACATTTTTCTGCGATCCTTCCTGTGACCTTGCTAAGGAATGGCTAATCCTACAAAGGTGAAGCACCTGGCACTGAAATAACGTTTTGAGACTCAAATACTTATGAAAAATAAATTACCTGTCAGACCAGTAGATGTAAGCTCCAAACACCGCGACTGAAAACATATCCACATTGCTCCCTGACAGCACAATCTCCCGATTCCCTCCACTCTCAAGGTCAATTCTTTCTATCTTGTCGGTACGAGCATCACACCAATATAATTTATTTTCCTAAAGATTAATTTTAAAGGAAATATCAACAGTCTTATCCAAGTATTTCATTAAGAGTGTTTAAGATTACATCAAAGCGGAAGACTAGCTGGCTTCAATGAGACATAACAAATACTGTACATTTTAACATATGCTGGGAGAGAGAGGAACTAACCTCATAGTCGATGGAAATCCCGTTAGGCCACGCAATCCCCAGGCTCACAAGCACAACCTTCTCAGACCCATCTAAGTGTGCCTTGCCTATGCAGGGACTCTGTCCCCACTCCGTCCAAAATAAATACCTAAAATGTTACAGACATCACCAATTAAAATATCATCAAAATAAGAGTTGAAAAATGTGTAATACTATACTTCAATTGCAAACAAAATGCTCCATTACCATTAAATATTTAAAAAACATGATAAGGTTCATATCTCTAAATAATCTTAAGAGATTAAACGTATCATAATACTTGTTTCATAGAACACTTCATTGAGATTTTTTTTGCAAATGATACTTATGAAGCAATTCTTAAAACTGCAATTGATCAGTTAATATGCAATTCTATTCCTTAAAGAATTCAGCTTTGCACTTGGGAAAATAAAAGCAAATTAGAAAAAAGAATTACTGGAACAGAAGCTCTTGCATCTAATTACTAACAAATGTGATAATACAAGAGATGTGTGTCTAATTTAGAAATGTCTTAAATATGAAGCAATGAGGAGCACTGTGGGAAATGGTAGAGCAACGGCATTTTATTTAGAACGAAAATATCTTTCCTATTCCCTCTAATACACATGGGAAGAATCTGCATCCTACTTATCTAACCTCACATTGCTGTGTACTTTCTGGCACAGTAACATCACTATCTCGGGGTAAGATGCCAGGTCAAACTGCTGCCTTGGCCTCCCACTTCTCACTCTGTAACTTTAGGTAGAGCAAAATGAGACCAGTGAATCTACAGAAAGCACTTCCTCTACTGAACAGAAACCTATGAAATAGCTTTAAGTAAATGTCTACGTGCCTACACATATATATGTACATAGATTTGTGTTAAAAATATATTATAAACACACACAGTCATATATATATTCTGAGCAAGAAAACTCCTAAGATAACAAAATTGAGGTCTGCTGTATTACTAATCTCCTGAAGAGAAGGATTTTCATTGAAAATATTCACAAGCACGCACTAAAACATTATTTAATAATAGGCTGTACAAAAAGTGTACAGAACATACAAAACCATTCTCCATTGTTTTTTGCTGTGTGGAATGTATATATTAGTCTATTTTAAAAATTATGAAAGTCTTCTGTGTGTTACTAACCCATTCTACCCCTGATTCTGCTGATATCATTATGCTGATCTGTTGTTATATTTCATTGGATGACTGCAGATATGCAAAATAAAGAGGGATACAAATGAGAGAGGGAAAAACAAATATGGATCCTATAATTAGCTCATCAAATGTGTCTTCTGAAACCATGTCCACCTTATTTTGGCTCTAACTGTAAGGCTTTCTGCCTATAATAATAAGTAATTTGATCTCATACTTCTTGACATAACAAATAATAATATGAATACTAACAATAAAACTTATACTACTTTAGGAAATTGAAGTTCTACATTAGCCAAATTAAAAATATGTTTTAGAAATGCTAAAATAGACAGTATTAACGAGCTGGATATCAACAATCACTGCTTAAATTTGATACAATTTAACCAGATTACTAACAGCACCTCTAAACTTCTAAACACAATTGAACTTGCTTTTGGGCATGTAGTCAGAGGCGCTTTCTAAACACGGGAGATCAACTAAATGTTGAGTACAGAAAAGCAGGCATTCAATATACTTGAATTAAGCATTCTGTACTCTTTCCTCTTATTAGTTACTCTGAGGAAAAAAAAATAAAATTAAAAACCGTAATTAGCAGGTTAAATGAATCTGGAATCCTCCAAAGATAGTCCTGAATAGCTGCCAAAAATGTAATATAAAAATGATACATAAACTTACATAAACTATTAACTAGTATAGAAAAACTTGATCTTCCCATATCTTCCCAAAAGGTCTGGGAAGTTCCATCGAAAATACTTGTTTCCCTTGTGGGCAGCAACATGCTACAGACACACCTGGTGTATACACTGCAATGCTAGAATAACTAGGACTCCACTTATTTTGGAACTACCCCATATATAATGTACACAGCTGACATGGAGATGCAAGTGGCGCAAATATGATGCTGGCCTAGAATCAAGTTTCAAAAAAACTTCTTTGGAAAAAATTCAAATCAGAATTCATACACCCACCACCTCCTCCCCCGGCCCAAACCCTAAGCACAAATGAAATTCCTGGAATATTTTTCAAGGAGGTATCTTCAAAGTCTAAGAATTAACTCAGTATTTCAATTACAATTCTGAGCTTGGTCAGAAGACTATTATTTAATTGTGGAAAAAACCACAAAGAGTCAGTCAAGTGTATGTTGTACGAACAAGTACCTGATGATGGACAAAGACACTTCTGTGCAGGACTACACATTCTTAACTGTTTTTTTCCTTAGTAACAATAAATAAAGCTACCAACCAGCTGAATGCTGGCTGCTTCATATCTTGGTATAACTGGCAGATTCAACAAGATCTAATAACTGCTATTTTTCTCTCCATTTTTATAGCTGTCAACTCAAGCTTCAAGAGGAATGAAGAATGTGAAGTCAGGGCAAGGGGAGAGAAGAATACCTTTGAAAGTTTTGTCTCACAAAGGGAAAGAGATATGACAATAATGCAGAGGGTAAAGAGCCTTAATCTTCCCACAGAAAGGTATACCTGTACTTCACTAGCAAAATATTCCTATCCTTCTCCTGAAGAAACTTGGATTGGAGACATCTCAAGATAGCATATTGTGGCAGCACAGTATTAAAAAAAAGAGACATGAAGCTGACCTGCCTTCACAGAGGACACACCGTTCTACCAGACACATAAAATAATTACTAAGATGTGGTCCTCTCATCCTCCTGTGTTTTCTTAAGTATCCTAGACACATCCAAAAACTAACTATAAAACTCAACCAGATCAAAACATCTAAGGAATGTTTCATAACTGAATTCATTTCTACATTTAACATTTCTCTTCTTTACTGCCTTTTTTTTTTTTGCTTCAAGTTCAATAATTTAAACTCTTCCAAATTACATTTTAGCCGCATTTTATTAACATCTGCTTTTTGGTGGCATTATGCACTATTTAAGACCTAAGCAGATGGTTCAGTGGCATCTCTAAATATCCATTAACTTAAAAGCAGGAACTGTTTCTTTCCAAAGAATCTTGTTAATATTGCTGGCTATTATTTCATCTGCTTATGTGCACACATCATTTTGGTAAAATAAAACCACAAACTGTTGAATCAGAAAGCATCATGTAAAAATATTGTCATTAAAATAAAAATATCCACACTTTATTAAAAAAGCAACTTTTCTGCCAATAGCAGTATTAAATATTCTGTCAAGGGTTCTGCAGCAACTCTTCCCTATAGAAATTGTTAAATGCTGGATCTCAGCATTCCCTCCATCTTCTGTCTCCAAATACTGTAGAAGAATTGACTACACTCTATACCACTTCTAGTTGAAAATAATGGATTTTATTTATATAATTAATATTATTTTTAATATCTCAGCATTATCTAAAGACCACATCTGCTGCACCTCGGGCTCACAGACTTCACAGGGGCTTTTCCTTTCCTTTAAAGTAACGGGTTAAAACATGTCTGCATGTGTGTACAGCAAATACAGTATACACATGTTGAGGAAAATTACACTGTAAATTAATTATTGTTTTGAAGAAGATTGGTTAGAAGAATTTTATCAGACTTCTATATACTTACCTTCAAAAGTTTTTTGGTTTTTATTTATTTTTTTTTTCTAACAGGAGAGCACAGCTATTCTGATACATTAAAGACAAAAATATAATAACTAATTCAGCCAGATCCTGACTAGGATCTGGAGAAGATCCTACTCTGAAGAATAGCATTAATCCAAAACTGCTAGCAGATACTGACAAGGAACCAGTGCTGCTATATGAACACAGCTGTAATGATTTGTGGCAAAAGCCATTACATTATGCAGAAAATAAAACCAGTTATTGCTTTTACCTCCATTCTAGTCTGAAAAATACACAGACCACTATGTCTAAATTCTATAGAAGAAATCATGGCAAAGATCCAAATGGCATTTTGCATCCCTGGTATCAATCTGGCCTCAGTGCAAAGTCAGAATTCCTCATCACTATGGCTGCAAACTCCTCTGAGTACAGAGACTGCTTTCCTGAAAATAGTGAGATACTGATCTGATTGAACCTGGGGGAAATGAGCTACAGTTTCTTCTCTGGCTTTGGGGGCAGGTAGTTGCTCAAATACTTCTTTAAGATTTTGATACACACCATTTCACGCTTCCTTTTCAGCAGGGTAAGTGTAGCAGTTAAATCCACTGAGTCTTGCTTATATGCCTTTTCCTCAGAAAGTACATTTCATACTCCCATGAAAAAAAGATGGGAATTCTTTGCAGAATTAACTGCCTCTGCTAACAATAGTTTTGGAGCTGGAAGCAGACAGAAGGTTCTCTATTTCTGTTAATGTTGCAGTGTAGTCCCTTTTCTCAACAAACAGTTGGACAAAAACGGACGTAATTTCTGACAACCTGTATCCACATGCTTCATTTCAGCCAATCTCCTAGGCTGTTGTAGTTGGATGTTGCATAATACTGGAATTTATAACTGGATTACATTGTTCTACGATTTCATCATGACATCAAGGTCCTCATTAGCTAATGTGAATTCCTTGGATTTGCTGGAAGCTTAAGAACAGGTTTAAGCATGCTTCCAAGCAATGTCTAACCTGCAGTTGAAGTTATCATCTTAGAAAATGAAAACCATTATTCAAAGAAAGTACAGCAAGTGTGTCATGTATACAGACACCAATGAAAAAACTCATCATACGATAAGAATAACACTTCCTTCCACCTATAATTAGTTTCCAACACAATCCTTTGGGGTTTTATTAAATGCTTATCTATTAGAACGAAGGCCTCGATTTACTTATCTGAGCGCTTCAGTGCTAGCATGCAAACTTTAAAAGAAATGCAAGTAGCCATGGTCATGTTACCCTTTTTCTGGGTGTACCGCAATAGATCGTGGCTGGTCCAAACCCTGGGATATAATTACATATCGGAATGAGCCGTTGAGCCTGGCAACTTCAATTAAGTTGAAGCCATGATCCGTCCAATATATGTTACCTAGGAAAAATATCTTGAAGTTACTGGAAAAAGACAAGACTACTTGAAAAGTGTTTAAATCTTAAGTGCCTAAGTTAAGACCAGAAACTAACTGCTGCATTTTAATTTAGGCATGTCTTATGTTTATAATTTCTAGTCCTCTTCAGCCTTCTGTTTTAAAATATAAGCTTGCATTCGTGGTTGTTACCCTTGAGACAGCCCATCTAAGAAATAGTGTCCAAGATACTGAAATATTTTTTCTGTCTGCAGTAAAATTGCAAAATCCAGCAAATTGTTGGTATCTCCAAAGAAAAAAAATATCTAAACATTTGGAATATTAGAAATTAGAGCTGAAAGCAAACCAAGTTATTTACTCTTGAGCTGAAGATGCGAGGACTTACTGTCAGAAATTATGACAACTCCTGAAGCAGGTGAAGACCTACCTGCAATCCAGTCCACTGCAATGCCTTCAACTCTTCCCAAACCATTTGTAACAATGTCTTCCTTCCACGTTTGGTCTCGTTTAGATCTGCTAATTTTGTTGAAACCCATGTCTGTCCAATAGATTGTATCATTTCCTATAAAATAAATGGCAATAATTTTTAGATAAATTCAGTTACTTCAGTCCAAGTATCTACATCAGTAACTGTAAAAGCTGCCACTTATAACTTTATTAAGCTCTCTCAGAGTAAACAGGAATGGTATCAAAACAATCATCTTTAATTCTTCATTCTTTTTCCTTTTTTAAAACATTTTATTTTAAATACTTAAATCAGAATTCTCTGTTTTCTACTGGTTGTTTAGTACTGCACATATAACACAATGGGGCCATGATGACACATGGAAGCTACTACCTCTGTTAAAAATCACAATAAATGTGTTGTCTTTTTCTTTTTCCTAATGGGATAAATGTTTGAAACACATTTTTTTTATTAATCACCATTCCAAAATATTTAGGAGCCTGAAAAAATACAGTTTAAACTGCCTACACAGTCTGTTCTTTCAGTAATCATAAAGATTGAATTTTGACAGTATAAAAAAAAAATAACTAGAAAAAATAAGTGTGACATTTGAGAGTGATATACTGATAAAAGAATAGAAAATTGACTCTATCCACAATTCATCTTTATTTCAAATGTCCTGACAAGCTTTCACTAAGAGTCTTTTTTGGCTATTTAAGTCATTTCAGCTGTTTTCCCTGCCATTCTGCGGCAGTTGGCTGTCCATAAGGCAGAAGAGAGGGACCACTCTGTAGTCTTAGAATACAACTCTATTTGCACTGACCATTTAAACTTGTCAGTCAGGCTGAAAATTTGCAGTGACCAAAGCATAGACACACACTTCTCTCTGCTGCCACAAAGGACCCTTTGATAATGAGATGGGGCAAAAAAAGTTATGACATCCCCAAGCAGAATGCTCTGAGCTTCCATTGACAGAGCTCTGAGTTAACAACACAGATATGCTGCAACACACATTCTGGTTTCAAAATCATCAGCTGGGGACCTCCTGAGTGACCTAATTTGTCTGCGAAAGGCACTGCTCAGAGATACGTAACTTATTCATTCTTTATTTTTTCATATTTTATATATATCTGTCTCTAATTCCATAAGAGAGAGAGTGTGTGTATATTTATATAATAAATATTTCTATATATGAATTTAGTCATATTACATATACAAATATATATAAATATTTATATATCCACACACACCTATGTGTGTGTGTAAAGAGAAAAACAAAACTTCCACAAATAACAGTCAATTCCAAGACCAAGCCAGTTTGTTATGCTCAGGAACCCTAGCCTCACCACCCATAAAAGGAAAGACAGATTCTGACTTCAAGTATCCCAAACATACAGTTTGATTATCACATATGGTAACTGTGTATTTTGCTACTTACTTCAAATGAGTGCGAAAATTATACAGGTCTTAATATTAGCCCCACATACATTCAACAATAATATACTGATCTATAACTGTGCAAGTGTATGTCAAATACCCTTCACTGGAATATGATATATAGAGAATTACTACAAAGTCTTACCGGAAAGAACACAGTCAATAAAAAAATATTTATATCTAATGTGTTTACCAACTGGATAAGACATTCTACAAGTGAATTTTATGTATTTCTTATTCCAGTTTAATTCATCTCCATAAAAATAAACCACTTTGTATTCATGCTATGACTATTTAAGTCAGCCACGTGAGCAAGAATCCACATAACAGCTTAGAAACTGTTATAAGCACACGGAGATCTCTGTGCTTTCACTGCCGTGACTAAATCTGATGTATAACACACAACTGACTCTGTAGTGCTGTTTTCTTAAAAAAGGGTTTTTCAGTAATCCAAGAACTCCAACAACTGAATTACCTGGATTTGCTTCCAGATAATCAGATGTTAGAGATAAAACCAATTAAAAAAAATCATATTTCTCTTTAAAATGTATCATGACAGTCAACAACCATTAAACATCTTATCTAAATGACTAATTTACTTTCTGTAAAATGCAGCATTTTATGGCACAGCTTTGCTTTGTTAATGATAAACATTTCCTTAGTACACAATATACCTGACCTGAATATAAACAGGTACAAAGCAACTAATGGTTATGTAGATGTACAAAAAAGGATGCTGAGGACATACAAAATCATGGAGATGTGCAGATGTAACTTCATAGATATAAAAATGCCTTCCAATAATAAAGACGTACACATTTTCAATACAAATATTACAGGTAAAAGTAATTTAACAGCAGTCAAATTGGATTTTTATTTAGTCTGTAGCATGCCTGTAAATGACCTGAGTTTTGAAGCAGAATGTATCTGTTCTACAAACAAAAATGATGCAAGTAGCTTTAGGACTGGAACTAATCAGGGAAACTCGAGTGATCTTTGCTGTGCTGAAGGAAGTTCACAAAGCACATGCAGTTCACTGCTTCTAGAGAGTATCCTTAAAAGTGAATGCTTACAGCTTGAGTATGTTCAGATAATAATTACCCAACCACACAATGATGTTAAACCTCAGCTAACACATATTTTCCTTAAAATTACCATATTCTTTTACGGTCCTATGGCTTACTTGTCTACATTTTGTATCCTGAATTAAATCTTCATTAAACTTAGTTGTAAAACGCATTGACTATAATATGACATTTTGATGTAATTGTTCAAAAAATGCTCCAAGGGAAAAAAAAAAACCAAACAACTGTGTTTTTTTTTCTGAAGTACTGATAAAGGTTATTTTTTCACAGCAATGCAAAACTTTTCAGTCAGTATTTTCTATACATTACATCAGAGAATCTTTTTTTGATTTTTCAGGTACTTCATGGAAGCAAAAGCAAAGAAAAAAACCTATACTTTTTTACTGTACAGTGTAAAAATATCCAAGGAATTACTTGTCACCAAACTAATAAGGAAGCCTGTAAGTAATACTACAGCCTTTATTGAGTTTCAGTTTGCACTTGGATACAGATGGTATGATCCAAATGAAAAACTCCTCTCATTTTATGGAGACCTCCCATCTATACAGACCAGTATAAAGACTCTGTTTTTCACAGAGGCAGAACTTTGCAAAGCTGTTTCTGCGATGAACTACTGCAGAACTGAAAGGGGCTCAGCAATAACACTATTATTTCAAAAGTATCAACAATTTTAGCTATTACTCTGCCTTTATGGAGGCTTTCTGCACTAATGAAAACATTCATGTAACCGCTCACATCTACTTTAAAAAGACAGAAATGCTCACACTCATTAAGTAGTTTGTGCCTTCCCTCTGCCTTTATGGAGGCTTTCTGCACTAATAAAAACATTAATGTAACCGCTCTGCATTGTACTCTAAAAAGACAGAAATGCTACTACTCATTAAGTAGTTTGTGCCCTCATTTAGCTATTACTCTGCCTTTATGGAGGCTTTCTGCACTAATGAAAACATTCATGTAACCGCTCACATCTACTTTAAAAAGACAGAAATGCTCACACTCATTAAGTAGTTTGTGCCTTCCAAGTCAGTAGGAGTTAAGATACTGCCTACTACTGTTAATTTTCTTCCTAGTAGCTGCCATGTTTTGGATGTATTATTTCTACCCATCAATTTAAAGACCTCAAATTACAAATAAACAAATGATGATGACACAAATAAACGGTCTTGTTTCTTCAACACTTAGAATACCCTTGGTGTCTCAAGTAGTGTTTCTCTGCCATGCAGATTCTCCTCCAACCAGACCAAGCTTAAGTATAAAACACCTTCCCCCATGTGAAATAATGATTTCAACAAATACAAACCAGGTACTATGGAAAAAAGTATGATGAGCTTCCTGGAACAACATTGACAGGAAAAAACAAAGTGCATTTGCATTTGTAAAGAAGTCTTCAGCAGCAGGGAAGAACTGATGTCATTATCTTTAATAATACAGAAATGAAAGGCTACTAGAATCACACTCACTTTTATAAACCTGTGTCTGAAATAACACTGACAGCCCCACTCCCAACAACCTCTGAAAAGGTCCAAAGGTCAAAACTACTCTAGTAGTTCCTTTATGAGAATTTAGAAGTACCAAGACATAGGGAGAAAAAAGGTACATTCATCTTCTAGCTCTTACATGTTTGTAAAAAATATTACTTTAAGTCTTTTAACTATGATATGCTATACTACAAGCATATGTTAATGTATTTTAGCCACTCTGCATGCATAAACATTACTGGGAGTAGATCAGAATTTGGGAACGTTTCACGATTAAGAACGACATGCAAGCAATAGTCACTAAGGGGAAAAAACCAAAACAAAACAAGGTGAAATCTGGAAGCTTTCCTTCTGAATCACATTTGATCATCAAAGGTTTTAGGAATGAATTCAGAAAATAACAAAATGAGAAAAACAACTGCTTTTTAAGCTGAAATACTCTTGAAAGCTGAACTGTAACTTTTCATAAGACAGCATCCCCTTGGGATTTCACTGCTGCAGGAGATTTACATTCATGTTGAGCAATGCATTTGTCACTATGAATTGCATCCACATTCCCTGTACCCAAGTGACGAACATCAATTTCATCCTTCCTCAAATCACACTTTTAGTACATGCTTCTTATTCTTCCAAAAATATTCATTTGATATTGACTAGTGAAGTCCAAAGCAAGCTCTCTAAAGTAGGAACTAGCATATTCTGTAAGTAGACTACACTAAAAGAAATAATCCCCAAATCAAAGAAAACACAAGATGCAAAATCCCCAATCAAATCATATTATCAGTATTTCAGAATTAAAAGGTCCAGTTTCAGATTTCTATATTGCACATCATAACTTTGTAAAGCTTGCAAGATGTGAATTCAAAAATTATATCTTTTTACAATAAGTATGCTATAATAAAAAATATAATCCAATCACATTGTCTTAATACTCTGTCGCAAGCAGGCATAGCTACCACTCCTCTATCATCCTGTATCTTTCCAGGAACAGATGAAATCAGCTGTATCAGTGTCTTTCCCATCTAAGCTATGTGTATAAAGACACTGGCTTTTAAGTGATTTTTATGTCTCAGTAGACTGTGACTGAACTGTACCTATGATATAATGAAAGCTCTGAATATTAGCTATCGCTGATTTGAAAGCAAAATATACAAGTACGAAGGCACTGTAAAAGGCTGAGTGAACTTGGAATTTTGCCAGGCAGAGTAGAGGTGCAAGAGCATCAGTGAAGAACGCAGGCCAAAAGAAGAGAATACTTCAGTGAATTTAACTCCTAACCTGTTATTAATAAAAGTTTGGTGATATTTGTTCGTGATGAAGTAATCAGACAACTACTTCAGTGAATTTAACTCCTAACCTGTTAATAAAAGTTTAGTGATATTTGTGTGTGATGAAATAATCAAACAATAAGCAGGAAAAGGTCTGTTCCTAATATGAAGCCATATATTAACATATACTTAAGTAAAAACTTAAGCGCTCTCAGTGCTGAATTGCCAGGCAGAATTTATTTCAAAATGAAAAACAAATACAAAATAATTCTGTGTTTCAGGAAGCTAATTTCCATATGTATATAACACAGGTAACTTAAAATGCTTTTTCTAAACTGCTAGTTTGTAAACTCAATAGGTAACAAAAACAGCCCATGAGAAAATCAGTTTAGAAGGAAGGCTGATCAAAGACCTAATGGGTTAAAAATATGGAGATATACAAGATGTTTTCAGGTCACTACTTGGTCACAGAGTTCTTATTTTCTGTAAAGTAATCAAAAATTCCTAATGTCTGAAGATATTCAGAAAGCGCTTAGTGCCAGTGGGAGACATATCCAATTACTCTTCAGGATCTGATCCTTAATTTCTTTCCGCCTTTTTTAATGGGCATGTAAAACAGAAACCCCCTAATTTCAGAAGAATTTTGTGAGGATACCTAAACTAAAACCAGTTTCCTATTTATACACTCCAGTGAAAAGGTACATAGTCTACTTAAGTCTGTTCCTCAGGCTGTTAGAGCATCCACTTTCAAAAGGAAGAAAGAGATAGAGAGCTGGCTTGTGGGCTGCATTGAGGCAGCTGAGCTTTATTGGGGAGAAAGAAAACTGTCCTGCTCAGCTGTCAACCCTACCTGCTTGGTACAATTCACAGGGCTAAGAAAATTCAGTGGAAAAAGTGTGATGACAGGAACAAGCTTTTTTCCTATGAAAAAGGACCTAATGAGACCTGCTTTCCTACAGATCTATGACCATCTTCTGTAAAGCCACAAGTTTCCTATTCAAGTTCTCTGTGATGTTTCCAGTGAAAAATAGTACTCCTAATGCGATCTACATATACATAATAGGTTTTTTCTACTTACTGTAAATAATAAATAACTAGAGGTTAACAGTGTAACACACAATCAACTTCCATTTCCTTCAACTACAGTTGTAGCTACTTCGAAGGTTTGAAAACTGGGGGCTTATTTCATTCAAAAGAATATTATACAATATTTACCGTACATACAATAAACTATACACCATATTTACCTGCATGGAAGTCTATGCCCACAGCAAATGAAGTTCCAGATATAGGCATTAAAGCATCCATTTTGTCATTTGGATCAAGAGGAATTCCTCTAATTCCTTCATGAACAGAATACATAAGAAATGATTCAATACCTATGGGGAAAAATAAAATATCCAATGAGAGCAAAGAGGAGACTTTGCTAATTAATAAGACTCCAGGAATTAACAAATACTAGACATAGTTTTCCAATACTGCTCCATAGTTTTCCAGAATGATAACTCCGTCTCTTTGAAGAAACATCCATGAATTATTATGGTGTATTTCTAATTCACTGATAAATGCAGTCTTAAAAAGAGATGGAAATCACTATCCATTTCAAGCATCCCCTTATAATTAAGTAATCACCACTTATGAAAATTAAAACTTAAGAAAATGTTTCTGAATTATAAGAAATTTAAGAATATTTTCAGTGCACGTCTGCACTTCTGTACATATTCAGCAAGAGACAATTTTAAAGACAATTTTTAAAGCAGAACTCAAGACTGTAAATTGTCTTTTAAGACATGGGAATTATCTCCCCTCATTTAGTCACGCACACTTCCTTTGCAGACAATAGAGAGAACTATAGAGTTTTAGTGAACAATGCAGCTGATTCATTTTAAATGTCTACTTTCCTGTCAGATTAATCACACTCCAGATGCACTTATTTCTATTAAGTAGGAAGAAATTCTACTGTCTGAAGGTCTTGCTACGCACTCATTCCCAGTCGAGATGATTCACACCTAACTGTTGACGACCAAAATTAGAAGAATTACTTTGTTGCCCTAATCTGTTCATATATGAGAATACTTCCTAAATTTAAGGGCAATTAAGTAGCATGATGATACGTAATTAATATTATTGAAGAATTTTAATTACCATACACAAAAAAGCTTTTTTTTCTTCACACTGATTCTTTGAAATTTTCTTTTTTTGTAAAGAGCTAGTTAGTAGAAGACCCTAAGAATATGGACTAAAGAGTTTCAGACAATTTCAAAATTTTCTTCAGAACAGAAAGAAATCTAGTTTGCAAATGAAAATAACAATGGTAAATAAGTACAGAACAGTACTTGTCGGTATTTCTCCATGAATTTTCAAGACAATAAAAATGGTTTTGACTCATTATTTCTTTTTAACTGAAAGAAAATTTAATCATCAAAAGCTACTATGATCTAGAAAGTAGTATGACTAGATATAAAGAAGGAATACATTTCAAATACAAAACATCCACCTGTTTTACCTTAACGCAAAACTGAAAGTTATAAATATCTGAAAAAGTAAAAATTACTATTTTAAAAAGAAATAAAAATATTAAGAATGTATTATTAAGTCACATATGAAAAGCAATGAAGTAGAAAAGCTACATTTATGTTGCTTAATTCTGCTTCCATGTATACTATTATTATAAGGCAGCAACCCCTCATAGGAATAAACAATATTAAATTTATACAACTCTAAGGCACCTTGACCATAAGACTGTTTGGTATTATTCAAGCAAAAAGGTTAAGACTTTGGATGTAAGCTGTGTTTTGATTTTTTTACATATTTATAGTGCTATTAATGATGGCTCAGTTTGCTTTTTTGTCTACTTTTAAAAAAAAATGAACCCACCAAAAATATTCCACAAAAAGCTATGCAGATATAAACAAAGAAATTACAAGCTAAATTTAAAGTCTGTCCTAAGTACAACAGACATTTCTCTGCTACTGCTTTAATTAAGCGTATTAAATATGGTTATTTAACTTAAAATTAATAAAGAAATTTTATTTACTCATTATAATGTTTCCATAACACTTAAAAACTTTCCATAAAAGTTAAAAGTAGTACTGAAAGAGACTTTACCTTTGCACGCCATGCGGTTTTTTTGAAGGTTGTAGCCTACTGTACACACACAAGTCCTGGTGGTTTCTGATGTAGGTAAACAAAGCTGGGAGCATCCACCGTTGTTTAACTGACAGGAATTGCTACCTATAAGATAATGGTAGAAGAGACAAGTAGAAATAAAATTAGAACATGAAATCCTGACTAAAAATGAATTATGGCGTCTGTTTATTAATATTACCAAAACCAGATTTTGTTCAGCTAACATCTTTGAAAAATTGAGATATACATAAAATATTTCAGGTAAGGTGCTAGTCATAGACTCTTCCAGGTTTCATGCTACAGTATTTTATCTGCGCACTTAGAATAGTCGTTTTTTTCCTCAAAATATTATTTTTCTTTTATTTTTTATTTTTTATCTTTATCTTTTATTTTAACTCAGTTTTCTGAAGGACAATGTGCCTATTTGAAAGTAAAAGCGTACAATAAAAATGAAAATTCTGCATTAAGTCTGTGAGTAGCAATGCTGAAAGCTCACTGACATTAGTCTAGAGGCCATATATTATTCTAGACCATGAAAAAATCATTAGTCATATTGTAATAATTCATCAAATGTTATATTAACCTTATATATTCATGAGCCACTATTTGTTTAGTATATTTAAGATATGCTCCAATGTGATATCACAGATCTATGCTCCTACTTCTTAATTAAAACAACATTTACTTTTAAGGAATAGATGAACACTTTTTAATAAGATTTATAATAAACATAATATACCGTACAACAAACATCTCAGAAATTTGAAGCTTCATGAACAATGAAGTCTACTAAGACATTCAAGGAATTAGTTGATTACAAGTTACCAAGTCCATATGAATCAGAGCACTACTTGTCACATTTATTTTTGCATTCCCAATTATGAAGTAGAAAGCATTTCTTCATCTGAAATGTTTTCTTATGATTTCTTATGTTTTCTTATGATGTTTTCTTATGATCGAACCATACAAATGGAAAAGACAGGTGAGGTTTCAAAGCCTCAGGTATCCTCAGCAGGACAAATTGTAGAGTAAATAATAATAATAAAATCTAGGATGCCAGATTTGTATCAGAGAAATCTGTAAGTGCCCTCATCACATTTGCTCTCATGTCACTTTGACTAAATGAAATGCAAGATGCATACGAAATATGCAAAGATTCTTTAAAAAAAAAAGAAAAAAGTGCAAGCATAAAGCTAAATCCCATCTACAATGTTTAATTCTTATGTCCAAAAGCCTCAAAATACAGATCAGCAAGGTGACATTTCACTACACAACTTCAGGGCTCTCATTACAGTTAAAGTTCAGTAGTACAAAAAGCCAGAGCTGTTCCTTTTCTTGACTTTAGTACAATGGAAGATGTATATAAATGCCACAGACACCAGATATTGCTAACATCTTGGGCACTCATGAGGCTCCATCTCTGTGTCTCCATGGTAGGGAATTCAAGCATTTTAAAATGTTAGAAACATTACTGAATGTCTAAGTTTTTATTACGTAGTTTTCAATGTGGTGGAACAGTAAGGGCAAGACTGGCAAAGCACCTTTGGTGCTTCCCAGATCAGGTAAAAATGGCAAGTGTTCCCAGCAGTGCTCAATATGGAACTGAATTAATGTACTCCATACATAGACTACTTATTGTCCATCACGTATCAAGCAGTTTAGCTCCATCCTGTGTTCCTTCAGAAGCTTCTCTGCAGAATTAAATAATTTGTTTCATGGAGATACCATCCTCATCACTTTCAGTGCAACCATCGACACTTTGAAAGCAGCCGGAGTCAGAAATAATCTCTTTCTAAAGAATCCCCCAAATGTCTTCATCTCTGATCTTCAAATTCATAAAACCAACTATGACCCCAAAGTACTTTTTTTCATATTATCTTGGCTCCCACTACATTTTGACAGTATTAGCAGTATTCCCCTATTTTTCTCCTGTCACACTTTTGATTCATACTAGTGTCACTTTTGTCAATCTTGATGAATTAAACTGTCATAAAACAAATAGATAATTAAGAATATTAATGAATTCTCTCTTCTTAAAATTCAATAATTTGAGATGAGGTCCACACACTGTTTTTTTTTTTCACTAAAAGTTTAAAATTAAATTCTCTTAAACTTCACTACAGTGTAAGCTTCAGAAAACATCTGATAAAATATAACAGGCAAATATTGTAAATAAATTATCTTATTATAGTTAGCAATTTATTGAATAAGAAAATATTTTATATTAATTTATCATTGAATTACAATGAAATATATATTCTTTTGTTCTAGCCACATTTAGAGAATAACATGGGAAAAGATACAACACAGTCCAAAAGTTGGTTAAATATGCTTAAAATTTACCATACCTTGTTGTGCTGCTTTATCATACACTTTCATATGTACGACACCTGAAGTTTTGTTTCGCAGGACAGTTGGGTTTCTTCCATCTTTTTTGTTACAGGTACCAATCTGAGCTAAGTTCTGGTCTGCCCACCAAAGCTTTTTATCTGTAAAATTTTCAAGTTTTTAAAATTAAGAGGATCACTATCAAATTGCATATGTTTGCAACCTAAGTTGGGAGAAAGTTTTTGAGGTTAATTCTCATATCAATTTTAAGGAAAATTGCTCAAAGAAAAAAAAATTATGATGTGTGGTTTTTTAACCCACAAATCTTGGATTTATAAACTTACTTTTTCTCTCTCTAGGTGACAGACTTTCACACACTTTAAGTGGAAAAACTGAATTCCCAATTTATAACTGAAAGTTACAAAACCTTATTCACAGCTCATATACTACCACACATGGATTCTTCTCGAACTTTGCTCTATCCATTCATTACGTACATAGAGATGAGAGGTTTTTATTCCTTGGCTTAAGTGTTCAAATTAATAAGTATGACAATTACCATAAAAATAATAAAGGATTTTGTTACTGTCTTAAAATTATCAAAATTCGCAAGTTACATGAATAATAATTGTTCCATCATAATTTACACAAGATTTTAAAATAACAGAAAAAAATGAGACCTGCAATGCTCATACTAACATAAACTTCAAACCATCCTTTTCAATCCACACACGCAGAATACTTGAATCACAGTATGTAGGACTTGTCAAAAATTCATGACAGAATTCTCACTTGATGCACAATTTCAGTATATACAACATTTATCAGTCTTAGCAGTTTGCAATTTTGAGACTCTGACCCATTACCTGCTGGAATTAATCAAAGATCCTTTTCAGTTAAAGGGCTTGCTAGTCTTTTATTCAACTAATAACAGCTAGTAAGAGGTCTCAGTGTCAATGGTTAATAATTTCTTTGAGGTAATAATCTTTACCACTTTTCCTTAAACCAGTATTGGGGTGGTATTCCTACCAGATTTTGAATATTTCATGTTTCATACCATCCCTTGATATTGTATAAATGGGCAATAAAATAAGTCACAACAACCACAAAGCAAAAAGTAAAAAGCAAAGAAGACCTATCAGGAAACACAGCAAGAAGAAATAAAGCAAACAGAAGAAAATAACATTAAATATACTTTTTTGAAAACCTTCACAGCAGCTTTCATAGAAATCTGTATTCCCTACTGCTCAGGCTTGAAAGACAGAATAGGTTAAAATGAGGGGAAATCAGAAGAAAGTTACAAATGCCCTTCACTCTCTCGGTATTTCTTTATACCCCTACGCATATAAAAGGCCACGTTTATTAGCTTTAGTGTCGCTCTGAAGGATAACACCAAGATCTGAGAACTGCTTTCTACAACAGCTACACCCTGTCAGTGATTTTTTGAAGAAGCTGGGGTGACAATGGGAAGGCTGTGTAGTACTGCACTGCTACTCGTAATAGCTATACTGTCAGGGACCAGAGTCAGGTGTCATGAACCAGCAGTGCCCAAGGACTGGCTGGTTTCTCATTTTCCTTGAATGCCAGAACACCCTGAGTCCTTAAGACTTAAGTCATTAAGTTCCAAGACTTAAAGAGAACAATGACCTCCTCCAGGCTCATTGTGGGTTACCAGTTTTTCCTTAGTCAAGACAATCACCTTAGTGACTGGCCAACACTCTGTAGCTCACTCTTATGAATTTAAAATTATACTTCTGATGATCCACAGCTTATATTTTTCCCATACTATAACTAAATTTAAGCTATTTTGTTAGTAAAATTCAATCAATCAAATAAAATATAGTTCTGGTACCAGCCTTCTAGGAAGTCTCAGTAAAGAGACAAGGTTTCGTTGGCTCATCTCTGTTACATTCTCTCAGTTAACAGACCAGTATAAAAATAAGTGCAAACAACTCCCCCCTGCCCTCAGCCCTTTGAAAAAGTAACTATTTTGAGCAAACTGAATTAGCTAACATTTTAATACTGTATTACCTCAGACCCAGATCTGACCAATAGTCTCTAGGGCAACACAATGCAGTTTTCATACCATTGTTAAATTTAACCATAAAAGGAGAAATAACAGAATAAAGGAAAGAAATTTTAGTGGCAATTAGAATTCAACATTTTCTTCAGATTGTCACACGTATTTTCAAACTGGAACAATGTAAATGGCAGTATATGGGCAGTACCACATGCTAAATTACTAACAAACTATTGCTTTGCAATGAGTTAACACTTCACTCCTGACTGCATTTAAAGTATTAATTACTGTGAAATACAATCTCACAGCAATGTTCTACACGAAGAAAAAAGTATGAACATTTCCTTTTTTTCTCCAAATAGTTATGTATCTTTTATACATCTTAAATGAAATAATTAAATGGGGCAAGTCTGTATAATTGGGAGTTTAACAGCATCAGCATTTTCATTTCAGACAGAAGAACTTATTACTGCAGATGAACCAGAAGTAAAACCCATATCGAAAAAAAAACCCCACTTTTAAACTTCAGGAACACTGCCTTTCCAGCAGATGTTGTATATTAGCTTAATTTCTAGCTCATTTTCTTTTCAGTTAAATTAATTGTTGCCTATGCTGCAGTTTTAATATTTAAATAACTGATTTATAGAGCCGGCCAGTTGAGTGTTTCATGATGAAAGCTGCAGATCTGAAAAATAATTTCCATTGCAATAACTGTAAAAAGTTACAGCACTCTGAAAATATCAAGGAAAAAAGCAATTACTGCAGATGAACCAGAAGTAAAACCCAGATCGAAAAAAAAAACAAACCACTTTTAAACTTCAGGAACACTGCCTTTCCAGCAGATGTTGTATATTAGCTTAATTTCTAGCTCATTTTCTTTTCAGTTAAATTAATTGTTGCCTATGCTGCAGTTTTAATATTTAAATAACTGATTTATAGAGCCGGCCAGTTGAGTGTTTCATGATGAAAGCTGCAGATCTGAAAAATAATTTCCATTGCAATAACTGTAAAAAGTTACAGCACTCTGAAAATATCAAGGAAAAAAGCATTTACTGAGTAGTCTTCACAGGTATATGAGGAGACAACAATCTATAGAACAAAAAATAATCTGAATATAAAGACTTGGAGACACAAATGGAACTCTCCAATGAAATCTGTGTAAAATACAAAGGAAATCATCATCCCACACATCCAAAGGTGGCAGAATAAACAGAGTGAAAAGATTTCTGTGTAAAATACAAAGGAAATCATCATCCTGCGCATCCTGCAATATCAATCTGCTAAATTAATAGTAACTTGCATCTGATGATGCTTTTTATCTGATAATCCTTAGAACAAGAAATTCCAGTGCTCAATTTTGATTGTATGAATTATAACAGAAAGACTTATGTGAGAAAATAATGTAAAAGTGATTGTGTGATATAATCCATAAGCGAAATCATGGGAATATACCTTTTTTTTTCTCTGTGAGATTATATTCCACAATAATGAATTATATATCCTAAAGTTTAGGCTAATTTTTTCAATTAAATGATTGTATGTGAAGAAGTGATTTCAGTTTTCAAATCACCTCTTTCATCATGAATCAGAACGACCCATTAAATAATTCAGGTAATGACTGCTGTCTTGTGCATAGCACACTACAACTTAATGTTTAACACATCTAAACCCAGCCATAAAAGATTTTTTTCTTCAGTCTGGAGTACAGGAAGGAAGAAAAACACAGTTTTGGTGTTTTGCATCACTCAGTTCAAAAAAGGTATCAAACACTTTCAGGCATTTCATTAATATTTTGTGCAAAAATCTCACTGTTGGCTTTGGTTTCAGAAGCTCCCAAAACTCCAATCTGCTGACTTGCCTGTCTCTTTAGGCAAAGGAAACAAACAAAAACCCCAGATAGCCAACTTTGTGTTCTTTTACTGACAGATGAAGGCATGGCATGTGCTTAATCAAGCAGTTCAACTACCAACAATTAACTACACCACAAATAGTTTCCTTTCTCCCCATTAGTATAGAGCAAAACCATATCTACAAAAACAACTGTTCTATCGTGTATCTCTTTTGCTTCCTGAGCTACTAAATGAGACTATTGCTGCTTTTATATACACTGTTAACAGTATTCTAGACAATTTCCATCAGTGGGGTCAGACCTGTCAGATCACAAGGCTCTTCTTTCCCTCCCTTCACAACACAAGAAACAGAAATCACCACAGCATAAACTCCTTACTGGTCCTTGACTGTGAACACAGAGGGTGAGTAGTTTCCCACACCACATACACCCTTAAAAAGGGCAAATCACCAGTGAATACTCAAAATACACTTCATAATGATTCTTTTAACTTCCTCTTCCATCCTTTATCCAATGTGAACACAGAGGGTGAGCAGTTTCCCAACCCACATACACCCTTAAAAAGGGCAAATCACCAGTGAATACTCAAAATACACTTCATAATGATTCTTTTAACTTCCTCTTCCATCCTTGTTAAAATGACACCTGGATAAACATTTAATTGAAAATGTAACTTACAAAACCTTACTGAATTTGCATTTCTTTTTCTTTTAGATGGAGGCTTGACTTGGTGTACTACAAGTTTTAGAAAGAGATACGGATACAATATGGGGAGCTAAATGGGAAACAATCTGAAAATTTAAGTAAGATGAAATCCATGCAAATCCTGACAAGGCAGGTATATTAGCCAAAAAACCAAAACCAAAACCCCAATCCCAATCAAAAACAACCCAAAAAACATACAAAACACAAAACCAATCCCAAAAAAACCCAAACAAAACCAAAACTAAACCAAAAAACCAACCCATAAATTCTGAAGTACAGATATCTTGAGGATGAACCTCTTACAACTACCTGCCACAAAACATGAACTGGTCAGAGCTGGCCAGTTATGCCCTAAGACCTAAAGAATACAGGTTTTAATTGCTCAGAAACTGCTGGGTGACCAGTATATGCCACACCAGCCTCACACCCAAAAAAATCCCAACGTGTTACACAGCTATTTTTGACCATAATTCCAAGGAGACTTTTGGACTATTTCTCTCTGCATTATCGATATATTCTCTCAGTAGGTAACTCATCTGTGATTATTAGGATGAATTCATTTCTATATTCATTGTAAAATATACTAG